AGACATTAAACTGTTGAACAGTAGACATCAATAAAAGCGAACGTATTTCGAAGTTGTGAAATCATGGTACTGTTTTGGCATTATACGACTTGCAGCTCCCTTTTGATGGATTTTATGTGACTGGCCATGTTATTGAACTGTAGTATTATGTCAATCTGCCCCGGAAAGTTTAAATTGTCATTTTCACGCTGCGTTTAGTAGAGTCGTCATCTAAGTATGCACAATTGTTCGTCTCGTGTTCCCCGGTGCATTTAAAAATCCCTTTTGAATTTGGGGGACTTTGTGTGACTGACCGTGGTGTTTGTAAACTTTAGTCGAACTGTCGTAGTGTGTATTAAATCTGCCACAACGTGAAGTTGCCATCGTCTCTCATTTAAATACGTTTGTGCCTCAACGAGGACTGAAAAGTGATTTTCATTTACTTCCTCTGTTATACATCAACTGTGTTAGCTTCCTTCGAATTTCCTATTGCCAATTTCCTATAGCGGTGTAGTTTGTCGACGGCAAATCGGGATGGTTTCGTCACGTAATTTCTTACCTTGTTCTTGACCGCAGTATGCGTGACTACGAATTTCCACATACCCACGCTTATGGGAATAGTGCATCGTGGGTAATACTGTATTGATTGAGGTGAAACAAACATGGTTGCTGTAATGCCTGTTACTACATCGCTCGTGTTTCTCTTTCTGTCTTAGAGTTCTATGTGTTTTTTTTAGTTTTTTTTATTTCAATTAAACAGCGATTTGGCTGTGACCATGCATTTTATATATTCATTGTCGACTGTTTTTTCTTGAATTGGTTGATTGTCATAGCAACATACGCTAAGTACAATTAAATGACTAGTCTGGAGTTGAACAGTAGTCATTTCTTACATGATTATTTAATTTAGTTTAATTCCTTCAGTTAAAAATTGAGTTTTCAAAATAAATAAATAATACGTACCCTCATCTATACTTCAAGTTTTCATTAAAACAAAGTCAAAGTCTTTGAAATTGCTTTTCTGTCTGTTCGCCAATCCATTGCTCCAAAACACACCTTTAAAACTCTTATTTTCCCAGCATCGAGATGGCTCTGCCAACTCTTGTCTAATGATATCTTCAATTCTTTAATTGAAATGTCCATTGCTAACAGCGGAGCTATCTCAGCTGACATGCTGCTTGTTTATTTTTTTAAATGAAAATACAAAACCTTTCATGGTTTTTTGTAAATTTATTCAACACATGGTGTCATTGTTTTTCAATTTATCCTGGAGTCCTAGTATATGAAACTCATTGATTTCCAGGACCCAGGCTTTGTTTATTGGCAATGACCTGGTAACTAAAAATTCAACACAGTAACATGAGTGAGATTGGGATCTACATGTATGGATTTGAAGAGTGATAATTTTGGTGAGCAATAGAGAGTGAATATGAAACACAGATTTAATGGTTCAAATTCATAAATCTTGTTCGATATCGAACCACGTCATCTCAAGAAAAGTGATTCATTAGTATTTTAAATAATACGCTGGCAGCTTATCATAAACATTTTCACAAATGAACCGTTTGGTTTCAGAAAATTATGTCAAACAGATTATCTTTTTATAATGCCCAGCATAAGAAACATTCTATTTATGGAAGGAAGAAAAATATTCACAATTTCAATCAAATAAACCATGATGACCAATTCAGCTTTATTTTGGTCAATAAATCCCTTTTAGCCATTATTTGAAACCTTCCCAATTATTGGATTTTCTAGGCATGACTGGTTTTCATTTTTGTTGTAAATTGTGTGCACTGTATCCATTATCATCCTTCTAAATAGAAAAAATTAAATATTAAAATAAATATATCAGTAAAGTAAGGTCAGCTAGAACGTGATGCCTTGGTCAGTTCAAACGTAAATTAGTATATGTATGAAGATCGTATATGTTATGTTACTAGTGCTCATTATTTAGTTTTAATGTCTCCTGTGTAATTTCTGACACATTTTGGGACAAATACAAACTGGTAGGCTGACTGGCAACTTATTTGGTCTTCCATATTATCTTGTTACATGTAACTATTGAACAAACATGTCTAGGCTGATTCTCAAGTATGCCACTGAATTCAAACACATGGTGACCAAAGGTTGTGTCATTTTTCCTGCGATGTGGCAGTTATCTTTTAATTAAAAACAACAGTTCTATTTTAGAAAAATACAAAACCCAAAATTAGTTCATATACAATGACATTGCCCGCTGTTGGCGTTTTTTTTTTTTAGCGCCACTGTTGATAAAGTTGAATGTGGCTAATATTACTGATTGTCCGTTTTCCCTGTGTCTGCATCGACTTTTTACATTTTTGATTTTTTTTTGAAAACTGCAAGTCCCATTGCTTTGATGCTTTCTATATATATGTAACTTGAGTGGTCCTCTAGGATTTGTTTGTTTCGTAACAATATTTGTTATTTTTAGAAAACAATGATATTTGTGACTTCTTCTGAAAAATGTTGAGACAGTGTATAAGCGAATACAAATTTTCCTTCTTGGTCACTGTATAACCTTGTACAACCTCGGCTAGTGACCAGTTACCCCAGGCGCTGGAGTTTGTAATGTTCCGCCCACCCGGTAGGATAATGCTACCGGTACACAAACAACACTCCAGTCTGACTGCTATCGGAACTGAGTGCGCCATTCATAAAATAGATGTAGCACTGATTGGGTGACACGAGTGTCAATCAAACACCTACGGTACTCTATTTATAGCAAATGTCGTAAACAAAATCACCTGACTGGCGTCATTTCAGTTCTCGGTGTCGGCGTGTGTCTCTGTTTAGACTGTTGTGTATAACTGTTCAAAACGTGAACATTTAATTAATTAAATGCAAGATTTTAACTGGCCATGCGACCTTAGAGTGCATGAGCAAAGTCAGCAGTGATCATTGACCGCAAATTTTAAGACTTTCTTTGGTGTTTCAGCGAACATGGAGCAAGAGGAGAACGTTTTTTCCGGTGTCGCCATAGCAGAGAAGAGGCGCGATTTGTTTTGCAACATCTTATCAATTTCCTTTGACAAAATCGCTGACAGTCCGCCGAAACCGTGATTTTGTGAAGAGCAAATTAATAATGATAAAAGCAAAATAATATCCAATGCACGCGATTAATTACGCTGGTCCATAAAATAACTCTAGTCTGACAAGAGAAACTTTGAACAAGTTTGTCGATGAACTAAATCCAGATTGTTGTAGAAAACCGTGCGACACAATCGCCGACAAAAATAACTCTCAAATGGACTCAACTACTTACGATCGACGACAGCGCTGGAGAAACTGGGATAAAAACACCAACATGATTTTACCCGCCATCTCCCATATATGGTTAGTTTATAATATATTCAGTTGTTTATTAACAGCTACATCAAGAGTAGAGTGTGATTGACTAACGTTCAAAGTTTAATTAGTGAGTGGGTGGAATAGCAGTCAGACTGGAGTGTTGTTTGTGTAGCTTTATCCTACCGGGCAGGCGGAACATTACAACCTCCAGCGCCTGGGGTAGTGAATAGTTACCTGTTGAAAATGTAACCCTCCCCCCCTCAAATAGAATGTTATAATCAATCTATAATACTTAACAGTAAAATCGTGGTCTTCATACCTGGACTACCAGTATCCATAGTCCTTGTTTGTGGAGGTAATGTGCAGTATCTAACAATACTACAGAGCTATATCAATCAAAGGCTGCTTGACCTATTTATCTAGTCTATCCGTGAAAGGTATTCAGCAGGCGAATTGTTAATACATGTGTTCCAAAACTACATTCAGACATCAAATAAATTTATTCTGCTGTGTATTATGTAACTATGGAAGAGACGTTGAAGTCAAGTCCACTGTTCGCAATATACTGAATCAATGGTGTAATACAAGCAACTAGACAAACACTTGTATCTCATTATATTTGTAGCATGTTATGGTATCGTGACAGTCCCCACTGGACCCTGGTTTTGTAGGAAATGTGAATCGCAAGAAAGAGCCGCCCGAGTGGTGAGTAATATGTTATTTACATCTAGATCCGATTGGTTATAGCCGTTATTAGCAATGTTGTGATGCAAACAAATTGCCCATAATTCTTCATGATTTGTACTGTTAGATAATTATGATACTAATTATGTTTTAATCACAACTTTTAATTAAATATAATCAAGATGAAAGCAAGAACAAAAGCACTCAAGACAGCTGTTACTGTTGGCATACTAGTAGATCCTTCACTTGAACTTCACGATGATATCAAAGGCCATTGCGTTTTTCCTCTCTGCTTAAGGTCATTTTTTTGAAAATGGATGACCAAGAGATTAGATTCATCCTTATCTGCTATTAAACCAATCAGAATGCAGTGTTGTACTGACATAATTCTGACACAAAAACAGTTTAGTATAGTTTTCGAGTGGAGCTTATCATACATGTATGAGTGATTGTCCGTCGTCGTCATCCGTGTCAACTTTTTACTTTTTCAACTTCTTCTTGAAAACTACAATCCTGAATGCTTTGATACTTGGTGTATATGTACCTTGGGTAGACCTCTCTTATATTTGTTCTTTTCGTAATGATATCTTCAATTTTAATAAATATTTTTGTAATTTTTGGTAAAAAGTTATATTTTCCACTTCTTGTTGAACTACAAGTCTGATTGGTTTGATCTTATACATATAGGTACATGTACTACAGGTGGACCTCTCTCAGATTTTTTCATTTCGTGATGATATATTCAATTATCTAATTTTGATGAATATTTTTGTCATTTTGGTAAAAAGTGATGTTTTCAAATTCTTGTTGAAAACAGCAAGTCTGATCGCTTTAATACTATACATATTGTTCATTTTCTAATGATATCTTCAGTTCTTTGATTAAACTTGTGCATTGCTAACAGTGGAGCTATCTCAGCCGACAGGCTGCTTGTTTTAAAGATCGGGTAATTGTCATTGTATAGTTACTGTGGTCTACGCATTCGTACAATATTAACTGCGGGCGATATCCATGCTG